TTGAATGGGAATAGCAGCTTCGAACAAACGAGTGCTGAAGACAAACCGTAAATGGTATCTAAAAAATTCTTTCAGTCTAAGCGAGAGCTATCCTTTGTCTCCAATTGGGATAACGTTCATGGCTGTAGCTCATTCACAGCCTTAATGGGAAGGAGAAATTTAAAGGTTTATAAATCCTGCTGGTCTCATTAAATAACATAGAGTCCCATGGTAGAGCAGAGCTCTCAAAAGCGAAACTTTCCCTCCGAACAAACGAGCGGTGAGCCAAAACCGTAATAGGTATTCAAAAAATTCTTTCACCGTGAGCGTCAGCCATCTTTGGACTACAACTGGTGTAACTTTCATATTTCTACAATATTTCGTCTAGGCGTGGTGACGATGTAAAAAAGTGTATAATTGTCAAAATCTTGATTTTGGGGTTCGGACAGATTTGTTACCCCCGAACAAACCTTTTTCCTGGCTAAACGATAAAAGATATCGACACACTTCCTTCAATGTGAGTGCTAGGAAGGTCTGAGGAACAACTTCCACAAGGCTCATGTTGCTACGTCTAACGGTTCCCAAATGGGAGCGATACGAAAAAGTCTGTTGTTTTGAATTTTCAGTTCGGATTTTCAGAGAGCTCTCATTGGATTTCTATTGGAGAAGTGTGGACTTCTTCGTGGTCTGGGCCAAACTGTCGGAAAACCGTAAATGCCACACAAATGAGGGTTACATTTCCTGAATCCTGACAAAAATCCCTACGTTTTGATGTAAAATTTATCTAGATATAGTAAAAAATGAGCGAGTGAGTTGAAGCTGTTCGGCATGAGTGAAATGTTTGAAAACGCTAGAGTGGCATACTCTAGCAGCTGAACATTCCGTCCATAGACTTCCATTATAAATTTGAAAATCTGTAAAAAAATGTTTAAAAGTTTGAAGCTTCACTGAAGCAAAACTGTAAAAGTTAGCTGAAAGCCGAGTTAAACAGTAATAGCAGAAAGATACGGAAACATTTTAAAAGTTGAATGGTGTTTCTAGCTGAAAGTATGCTGAAGTAGTTAAAGGTCAAAGATGCTGAAGGTTTAGCTGAATTTTGCTGAAATCTAAGAATTCTACATGCATTTCAATGGGACAAAAAAAACACAGAAAAAGCTGAATATCGCGAAAACTACAAAAAATATCTTTACCAAAAGACATAGCAGAATTCCCCTGAACAAGCTGAACGTTTTGATACCAAAATTGTTGAAATCAGTTGAAAACTGCGGGACTAGTTAGAGTCAGAAAAATTAAAAGTGAAAAACAATAAGTGGGAATGCATAAGCATTCCCACTTGATAATAAATATAAACAGAAAAACAATAAGTGGGAATGCATAACCATTCCCACTTGAATAGTCTTAGTTGTCTGCACAGACAAGAAGTAGAGAGCACATTCAGAATAAAGAACGCAAGCCAAAGCTGCAACACGTTATTCTTAAATTTGTAATTGAAGATGGAATTGGGAGAGGATACTATTTCAGTTTTGGAATGTATTTTCATGCCATCTCATTGTATAATCGCTGGCTCGTGGACTGAAATGTAAAAGTGGAAATTTCCTTTACTTGAAGTCATGCAAACACATGCAGTAGTGGAGCAAAGATAATACCTGCAGCTGGATGTTTGCTATGAAAGAAATGAATAAGCCTTTAGACCCTAACTCTCACTTATCTGCGATTCAGTGGCGTAGTGGACTGCCTATTTTTGAGAAAAACAAAGAGGAAATGATTAGCAGTAAACACCTGCATGAGATGGATCCTCACTGCCTGTGACATACTATAAGTTGCCAACAATATCTTGTGTTTTTCCTAATTTCTTAAGGATTAGAAACACTTCAACCCCTAGAGATAATTGGCACCTGTAAGCTGATGATAAGTATTCTGTCAAACATGACAGATGTGCTTGTGCTTCTAAAATAAGGGGTGTGTTACATAAAAAAAAAAAACTGTGGGAGTTTTATAACCAATCAAACCATAATAAAACAACACTATAAAAATTGGGCCCGCATCTTGATTGCTGGGATTGATTTTTTTAAACATAGTGGCTGCTAGTGATTATATATACATATATTTTTTTGTTAATACAGGCTACCTACTTTACTGCCACATTCCCCTTCGTCTTGCTGGTGGTACTGTTTTTTAGAGGTATGACCCTTCCTGGAGCATTTCATGGTGTCAAATACTACCTGTACCCTGATCCCTCTCGGCTAGCTGACCCACAGGTATGATTACACAAACATTATCTAACATTTGGAAAATAAGTATAAACATTATAGTTTTTTAAAAGTCTTTTTAGGTTATTTTTTAAATCTTTTTAATTTAATTTCTGTATGATCTAGAGATTCGTGTAAAAAGTCCATATGCACAAATTAGATAAAACTAAACAGCCATAGCAGTGTTTTCTTTTTTACATAACTTTACATTGAACCATTATTTAAATATACTCGCCTCTGTAAAAATGATACATTTCTGAAAATAATTTATTTTCTCTAGGTCTGGATGGACGCTGGAACACAGATATTTTATTCCTATGCCATTTGCCTGGGGTACATGACCACATTTGGAAGTTACAACAAGTACAACAACAACTGTTACAGGTGACAAACAGATAAAAACGTGCCTTTACGAAAGCAAATACTTTTTGTTTAAAAATCACACTTTGCAAATTTAAAGTAATCTTAATTTAACAGCAAAATCATGCAAAGTCTGCCCATTTAATGTTTCTTCTGTGATTTATTTTTTCCTAGCAATTCTAAATATATATATAGTAGGCCTATGTACAGGGGAGTCTTGTAGGAGAGCATTAGGGAGGTCAGGCACTAAAGATGGTTAAGATACCCTAGCTGCGAGTCTAATCTCTAATTCATCCCAAAGGTTTTGTCATGAGTTCCAGCTAAGGACTGGGGGACCAGTTTAGGTCCTAAACACCTAAGATGCTCATTAAGGTCCCAATAGACCTTGTTTTCTGCAGAGATACACAGTCACATTTGAAATAAGAACTGGCCCTTCTAATCCGCTCCGACAGATTGAGGAGCATTAAACTGACGAAATGTTCAGTTTTCTGCAGCATTAAGATTTTTTTTTTTACTTGAATAAGGGCTCAGCCCATCTCTTGACAAAAAGCCAAAGCACTATGAGCCAAAAAGCAACAAATTATATACTACAAAAAGAGCAGTTAAGCCAAGTCTACAGACAGGTATGAGTAATCATTCAAAAGAACCAATGAGTCACCACTGCTATAATGTCTAGTGGCAGTGCACAGTGTACCACTGCATCTAATGCTTTGGAATGGATTTGGTTATGAAAAACTAGGATGTAGCTTTTCCACCATTAAAACACAAAGCCAGGAATTCTCTCTGAAGTATTATTGAGCTATTGGGAAGTTTGGAAGTCTGTAACCACTGATTTTGCAGAAAGAACCTCTGTATGCTCTGTGCCTTCTGTGACCCTGATCCGGTATTCTATCCAGCCGATTCCTTCATGGCTGAGTTGCTGTCCTTCACAGTGGCTCTAATTATGTCAAAATGTTTAATTTGAAACCATTTTTCACAATGTTTGTTCTGGCAAGAGGCTGAAATGTTGGCGCTTTTGGCTATGAAAGCATTGCTAACATCTGAATTCAGCTTTTGGAGAGGACAATCCAAAACACTTTTGTGTTCATTTGAATAATTCCTTTGTTTGTATAAAAGGATTTTCTACTTGCCTGAGTTTCATCTCAAAAATCAATAAATTGTAAATAAGCCCTGTCCAGGCTGGGTAACAAAATCAAACAATTTGAACAAAGACAGGAATTTTAAAAAATTTTCATAACAGGTCAGGTAAAAATAACTAAAAGCAATAATAATATTGCCTAAATTTTGCATAAAGATGCTTTCAATAATTAAAACCATAACATAAATATATTTTTTATTTTGCATTTTCAGCACCACAACTATGTATTTTTTTTATTATTTGCAGAGACTCCTTCTATCTTTGCTTGCTGAACAGTGGGACCAGCATAATGTCTGGATTTGCCATTTTCTCCGTTCTGGGCTACATGTCAGTAAAGCAGGGAGTAGACATTTCTGCTGTTGCTGAGTCAGGTATGCTTTAGACCAGCTGGAATGCTTACAACTGCCCCTTCTTTTCTCCTGAATGAACGTTTTATGTTTCATTACAGTTCGATTGACTAAAGAGCTGTTAGATGTTTTGAGTGGATTTATTACTGCTTCTGGTTAAAGGAATAGTACACCCAAAACATGATTAGCCTTCATTTTCTACTCACCCCCATGCTGAACAACACCCTGGAGTACTTTTTTGATATCTCAAATGCATCTGGAGATCTGGGAGGCTTCTTGCTGTCTGCTGACATTCAAATAATGGAGGTCTATGGTGACCGAGACAGAAAGGTCCATAAAGGTCCACAAAAACATGTCAATATTCCTCCATACTGCTCGTCCAATGTATTCCAAGTTTCCTGAGTGGGTAGCATCCAGAATTTACTCGAAACAAAGTCATTTAGAATGTTTTTAGAGCATAAACAGTAGTGTATAGGATTTCCTGAAAGCGCGCGCCGGCGCGTTCATGACGCTACGGAAGCCGGCAGACCAAACCAGATGAAAGTGCGCATTCAGCGTCTGCTCTTCCAATAATGCAAGCGTAGAAGAAGAAATGTGCCGTTTACCTGTGCAAAGAAAGAAACAACGAAAGAAAGGAAGAGCATGAGTTCTTTGCCGAGCTGAATGCGCTGGTTTGGTCTGCCGGCTTCAGTAGACTCGTGAGCGCGCATGTGCGCGCTTTCAGGAAATCCTATACACTACTGTTTATGCTCTAAAAACATTCTAAATGACTTAATTTCGAGTAAATTCAGGATGCTACCCACTCAGGAAACTTGGAATACATTGGACGAGCAGTATGGAGGAATATTGACACGTTTTTGTGGATTTTTATGGACCTTTCTGTCTCGGTCACCATAGACCTCCATTATTTGAATGTCAGCAGACAGCAAGAAGCCTCCCAGTTCTCCAGATGCATTTGAGATATCAAAAAAGTACTCCAGAGTGTTGTTCAGCATGGGGGTGAGTAGAAAATGAAGGCTAATCATGTTTTGGGTGTACTATTCCTTTAAGCACATTGGAAATGTTCTGAGTGAAGTGCTTTTGTCATTTTTAATAACAAGCATTTTATGTAACAGGTTTTCAAGGGATTTACTTTTTCCTCTCACTTTGCAGGTCCTGGACTCGTCTTCATTGTCTACCCACAAGCCGTAACTCTGCTGCCTTGGCCTCAGGTCTGGTCTGTGTGTTTCTTCTTCATGATCATTTTACTGGGAATCGATGGGCAGGTAAGCATAATTCTTTATTTTATGATCACAATTTCACATTGCTGTTTCTTTACCAGCCTCCAACAATGTTGCTTTCAGTTTGCAGGACTTGAAAGCAACATGACCTCTTTGACAGATCTTTATCCTTCCTACCTCCGAAGGGGATACCGCAGAGAGCTTCTTCTGATGCTGCTCTGTGTTATTAGTGCTCTGTTGGGCTTATTTATGGTCACAGAGGTGAGTTGTGGGACATCATTTCAAAGTTGTAAAAAAAAGACATTATTTTATAGTTAATATATAAGTGCAAAGGAGCAGCAGCTACACAGATATAGCAAATAACTGTTGCCTGAGGATGTAGGTGGTCATAAACCCTTAAATGAGTGAAAAAACCTGCAGCAAATTTGGTGGAAGATGCTATTTAGGATCTCAGCTTCTGAAGAGCAGTGATTAATAAAAAATGGAACTCCGGGGGGTCAGGCATACAATTTAAGGAAAAATAAGAAGACCTAGTACTGGGCCAAGGTTCTTTCTGGAAATATCACATCACAAGCCAAACTGACCATCTCCTCCGCCAAGAAGGTTATAGTCATAATATAGGTATCAAACACATCCCTAACAAGAAAACTATAAAGCTAAAAACTGTTCTTGACAAATTCGGCATTCTTGACCAAAGTCTATGACAAGCCCATATGAGCGTCATCATAGATGCCACGTATTATTGTTGTTTATAATACTTTTTTGTGTTTATTGTTGTCACTGAACATACTTTTTTCTTTGTATGTCTAATAGTATTTGATACAAAAAAAAGAAAGCACTTTTCCGCACAACAGTAAAGAAACCCTGGACAAGCAAGCTTCCAGGGTCATTAAAACAATAAATCCCTTCAGTGGAATATCCACATGCCTGTGGTTAGTGAAAAAGAAAATCTAAATGAAATTGCAATCACAATATTAGTTTAAAACAAAATTTGCTGTTTTGATTTTTGGCTATGTAATTCATCCCAAGTAGACTACTGATACAAGGCTGACACATTATTAGCAATTTTGAGTAACACATAAATGACCAATTTGTTTGAACTGGAAGCATTGCTCAAACTAATATCTTTAATCTCCAACATTGATGCAAGACGATAATACAACAATCACATAATTGAAATGATTGTTTGCAATTTTACAGAACAAAACTGTCATGTTTTGGTTCTGTTGTGCTTTACTTTGCCCCATGTTTCCTAGTTTTATTTGTTTAATTCCTATTTTGTTGTAGTTTTCTAGATTTATGTTAGTTCTCTGGTTTTTCTGTTGTTTTCCTCTGCTGCCCTCTTGTGTGTTCCTTTCCCCTTGGCTCCCTCTTTGTCTCCAGTCACACCTGCTCCTTATCCGCTCGTTAGCCCTGCCTTTGTCTCAGTCAGCTATTTATACTCTCCCTCTACTGTCACTCTTTGATGACTTCTCATGTTGTTGTCTTTCTACCTCGTCTCTCCCTGGCTCCTCATGTTTGGTTTCCCCTGATGTCTCCATGGTTCTGGTTTGCTTTACATTTTTAGTTGGATTTTTGGATTCCTGCCTTTCTTAAACTGTTTCATCTGATTAAATCTACAAGAACTCACCTTTGTCTCCCTGGCTCTCCATTTGGGTCCACAAACACCAACCAACATGTGACAAAAAAAGCCAATTTCTTTGAATACATTTACATTTTAAACTATTGAAATATTTTTTTGTACCAAAACCATCATTCAGTTTTTAATATTTCATCTTGTTCCCAAAAATGACTCTGAAATCAATTTGCTAAAACTCTCGAAGGTATGTGAGGTCCCTGATCAATTGATGATGCTAAAAAGGGGCTTAGTCACACATGCATCAGGGCAGCTCTGAGAAGACATTAGCTACAGCAGATAAGGTAAACCCCTGCTGAGGTAGGAATGAAGCTTACTCTGAAACACTTACTGTCAAACAGACCGGTTTGCTCAGACATCCTTTGGAGAGGCTTTATTCATGTGGCAGGTCATAAACATAAAACATCTTGTAAAAAAAATAAAGATGGTTATCATAAAGATTAACATGATTTTGAAACAGATATTTAATTTAAATTTGTTAAAATCATTTGAAGCACTAACTTTTCTTATTTCATGTCGATAAATATAATTGCAGCATGGTTTGATTTCAGCTGCAACTGTTATAACGGATGATCTCTTCTTACACAAACAGGATAATTGCTGTTATTTTGATAAATGTGTGTTGCGTCTACGTTTTAGGCAGGAGCATACATTCTGCAGATCTTTGATCACTATGTGTGCAGCGGCCCCACCCTCCTTCTGATGGCAATCTTCCAGTCAGTGATCATTGGATGGATTTATGGTAAGACTGTTGTTGATTTATAGATGTTTTAGTAAAATAATAACCTCGTAAAGAGAGGTTATAAGATGATAAACCTTGAAAAAGCAGCTTAACTTTAAGTGATGGTGAATGATGATCTCTGTCCCAGTTTGTAGAGCAGCCTGGTTTTGGCCATGAGCAAAGCACTTAAACTGTCAAGGAAAAATATGTTTACACTTGTTTTCATTTCGACTTACTGGCTTTGTCAGTCCTGATGAGATATCTTTGGAGACATGTACAACTGCCTTCTGTTTTTGTTTAGCTCTGTTTTCAACCTGCCTACAAGACTTTTATAAATCAAAACTTCTCTGGCTACATTTTGCAAACCAGCAACTTACTGTGCTACGCCAACCTGTGATTGCACAAAAAATAACAACAACGACAACCAACTTCCTCTGCAGGTCAAAGTAGAATCTCTGTACAGTTGCTTCTGTACTGAGGAAAATTATTTCTCGTGCAATACTTTATCTACCTAATTTCATGGGAGGTATGGTGCATTGAAATTTATGTAGATTGTGTAGGTTGTTTTTAGACTAACAGTTGAACAACAACCCCTAAACATACAAACACAGCTATAATAGAATAGTCTCTTCAGAAATATATTAATTTATTTCATATATTTTACATAATATATTAATTTATCTATCTGTATTTAACCCATCCCCTTGGGGAGCAGTGGGCTGCCATCGTGTGGTGCCCGGGAAGCATTGTGGGGTTAGGGGTCTTTGCTAAAACCAAAAAAAACAATTTAAACCAGCAAACAATCAGCTTTTAGTGGCAGTGGGTACAGGTGATTGACCTGCATCAACTAATGTCAAACGACTCCACAAGCGACCCGGGTTTAAATCGCCTTTAAACGGCTCACTCCAATTGGCATACAGTGGAACATTAATATAGACGACACCATTTAGCGCAACGTATGAACGTCAACACACCACAACAGTTGCATCTGATCTAAGCCGGAACAACTGTGCTCACATTCCACAAACATTGCGCAGCACTGGTGAGAGAGATTTAACAGATAAAAGAGCAAAACAATAAGGCACACTTAGTATTCCCTGGCTCCCTTTAATGTTGATCTACATTGTTTACCTTCCTAATTTTTGTTGAACTGGTGAAAACATCAAAGCTAACACAGCATAATGGCGTTACCAGACACGCAGCGGCGGGGCGACAGAGGCCAACAGATGCCACTTGCCAGACCCAACTTTTTTTGCCAATGGGAAGGGAGCCAAAGCAGATTGTCGGGTCGACCCGAGTATCAAAAACCCGGGTTGACGTGCTAATTTGAGTGAGGCTTCAAAATTCACAGACACTGTCATCCGGTCTGACTAAGCTGGAGTTAAGTAGCAAATAAGAATATGTAAAGACTTCTCCCGAAAATGTACACCCCTACCTCAAATGTCTGGATGCAGGATTATTTCAATAAAGGTGTGCAAATTCTTTATCATGTTTTTCTAAAAGCATTTTCAGAAAAATTAAGGCCGTTTTGTGTTTCAACTAAGACACTGCTTCAAAATGTGACCTTAATACAGGTTTACATTGTAACTTTCAATTTTTTTTTTGTAAAATAAAAAGCAGCTTTTTATAAGCATTCTCTCACTGCTACTGAGATTTTTTTTTTTTTTATATATATATATACTAAACAAGCAATGAGCTATGTGATGCCAACTAACTGAGGAGCTGTAATGTGGCCTGGTGTTCAGCATGGCTGATAGATTAAGAGGACAATGATGCAGCAGAGCCACTGATTCATGAATAGCGGTGCTAAAGAAAAGAACTCACTTAAAGAATAAGTGTTTCTGTAATGTGTATTATCTCTACACTGACTGACAGCTGCTGCATTTATCAACACGTGGTCATTACTTTCTCAGAGTTGTACTGAATAGCACAGTCATTATGTTATTCAAAAATACATGTATTTTTGTTTTGCTTAGTTTTGGGTTTTTTTCCATACAGAAATAGTGGGATCGAGAAGTTCCGTTTTTTTTTCCTGGTATAGTGTGGCCCCTCTTTAATTAGATTGCAAAGTAGATCTTATTTTTGTTCAAATATTTCAGAAGCATTATTTTTCAGCTTCATACCGTTTTTTAAAGCCAGTTGATGGCTGTGCAAAACTTGCAAAAATATAAAGTTCTAAAATATCTCATGTCGTGGGAAAAAAGTATTCAACTATTCATCCTAGTGAAATAAAAGGAGATCAATGGATTTCACTCAGTCGTTACATTTATTTATATCTTTGCAAAGAGAGAACAGTTCATCATACAGCCCTTATGGCACAGCGTTCAGCCCTGTTCTCCCTGAGCAGCGTGTGTTCCCCCTTACTTACAACAATGGAAAAGTAGTCAGAGTCAAAACAAATTACACACACTTTGGTTAAACAGTAACATGTTATGAATAAACCTTGAGAAAGAATCTGGCTTGTTATGGGAAGAAGCTATGTCTTTTCTACAAACACCATCCTGCAGAGAATCGTGTGACCTTGAAAGTGAAACGGACTGAGTGAAAACTTTTATAGTGAGTAAATAGGATAAATTATAAAGAGAAACCTAAATGTTCCAACAACACTCATTTGCTTTATTATTATGAACAAAGACATAATCACATCTGTATATTGTTAATGCAACACACATTTCCTACCCTACACACCAAAATTGTGCATATTAGTTGTACTGTATTAGTATTCAAGGTTTTCAGATTTGTAGTCCTTTTAATTTATTAATTAACTTTATTAATTAATAAGAAATATGTTATATGTCATAATTGAACCTCCAGTTGTAGCTGAAATTCTGTTAATAGGAAAATTAAATCCTAGACTATAAAATTAACTGCTTTCTTATTTTGACTAACAACGAGTTACTTTGATTGTGCAATAGTTGAGTCAGGAACTCGCCCCCTGTGTTGACACCATCAATTGCTACTATCATCACTACAGGATAGCTGTTAGGTAGGGTGCATTCACTGAAACAAAAACAATCCTGTTTTTCAGTTTCTGATTGGGCTAATCAACAGTCAGGGCTGGTTAAGCTAAATATTGTTCAATCTAAGTCCCCAGTCAATTTCTTGGTGGTTTTTTTGGGTACCCAGAAGCAACAAATCTAAACCCCACAAAATGGATGACAAAACTTAATGGAAAATAGAAAATGATGCCGCCCAATTTTCATACCTCTACTTTCAGATATCAACCTTAAATGAATCAAGAACATGTAATTGATAAGTTTTAAGACTTTATTTGCACATATCCTGCTTTGATTCTCTATATATGTGCAGATTACATTATGCATGATCAGTTTATACAATCGGTTTCTGACCCTTGAAGTTTACGCTTAGCAGTAAAACAGTTTCCTGAAATATGTACCGTACAACATAAGAAATATTTTTTTTTGTAGATGAACCTCTGTCAGATGTTTAGCAGCTTTTGTACACAATTTTATTTAAGTAAATTAAGTATATCTGTTGTCGTAGGTGCTGCACGCTTCAGTGACAATATTGAGGACATGATTGGTTACAAACCTATGCCACTGTTCAAGTACTGCTGGCTCTACATCACCCCTCTTATTTGCAGTGTAAGAGTCCAAATTAGTTTATAATATTTTTATGAATAATCTTATAGTTTGATTCCAAATATTTGTTTTTTCTTTCCCTTCTCTTTAGGCCACTCTTGTATTTTTACTTGTGAGATACACTCCAATGAGGTTCAACAAAACATATGTGTATCCTTGGTGGGCTTACTGGATCGGCTGGTTTCTGTCCATGTCATCATTGTCTTTGATCCCACTTAACATGATCTTCAAATTGATGAAAGAGAAAGGCTCTCTCTGGCAGGTGTGTGCAAAAGAGAGCATTCATCAAGTTATGAATGCTTTTGAAGTTGGTGATTTTAATTGTATGTTGTTAGAGGCAAGAGGGATTTTTTAACAATATTGATACTTTCCTCAGCGATTCAAGAAAACCTCCCTGCCTGCAGACGACCTTCCAGGGATGGTGAAGGAAGTGCCAAGTCTCAACACATTGATGAGTGCTCAGAACAGGGAACAAAATGATCCCATGCTTTAAAAATCTTAGAAAATATCTTTCCCCAAAATACAACATATTGGGTAATGGGATTAAAAACATTCTCAGTATACAGTCGGTATCTATTTCAATATTTTCTACATATCGGTCTTTTGGGGGCAGTTTTTGGAGCACGTTTTCTATCATTCTGCCAACAACATCTAGAATCTCAAAAAAACAGCACTGGATTGTAATTAAGAACACTCAATGAAAATATTGAATCTATGTTATATTTCTATATAGATCAACCTGGTTAGATCTGCTTGCCCTCTTTCTTAGATAACTTGGCAAAATATGACAAAAAAAAAAAAAAAGAAACATCCTTAATGTATTAAAACCTTGCAATGTAGCGCCTCACTGCGCTTTGGGGGTGCTCAATACTTGTAACATTATAAAACAAAGGAAAAAGAAGATTTATATCTCGTCTATCCTCCAATGAATCTTTTTCCAGGAAATAAAATTGGAATCTTGTTTAAAGATTGGAAGCACAAATTTGGAGAGCCTACACTAAACTAAGATCATTTTGTTGTTTAAATTTGACTCTTAGAAATATAGTTAAAAGGAAATTTACAAAAAGTCTTATGAGATCAATATATTCTATGTGGTTGTAACATTGCTTCTTGGCAGTAAATGTTACACAACTGGAAAGGTTAAGGATTTCCATTTAACTCCTGGCACATTTCCAAGGGATACGCCTTTGTTTGTTGAGCAGCAGAAGTGAGTGTGATGGCCCATGCAAATCTGTCCGAATTCACCTTGCCTTTTAGCCTGATGAACCAGACTAAATATGACATTAAATGTGTAATTTAGTCTGGCCCCCATGAATGAGGCATCGGAAGATTGTTGATGAGAACAACCCGTTGTTTTTCAAACCATGTATGTGCCTATTGGCCAACGCTCAGACCAATAAGCGCAACTGACTGACACAGTAAGGGTGACAGAAAGCTGGTGGGGGAGTGTAAAGAAAACAGCCTGTTGGTAAAACGGTGAATACGTCCTTGTTAAAAATGAATGAGCGTAGAGTCTCTTCCTGCTCATGTTTCAACGAAAAACCCAGGTCAGATCCTTCCAAAACTGATTCCAAAGCTGAGTCAAACGATGGTTTGTTTGCTTAGTTGTTGCTATCTTCCTTGTTGCGCTTTCTCCAGCGTCGCGCAGCTTTGTCGTTACGCCCTCAAATCCCTGCCTGCTTTGCATCCAGAAATTAAAAACACATCTCTGCGTTGTGATTGGCCCACCAGTTCTAGGGCCCGGGGCATTGATCGAGGCTAGACCAACTCGCAGGCAAAAATGAATTTGGCCGCTGGCGGGTGGGGCTAGTTTACTAGGCTACTTGCCTTTTACAAATAGCGTTCAGCCAAGCCAGTATAAAGATGGGAGGTCACCTTCTCATCACTGGAATAGAAGGGCTTGTCAGAGGCAATCTCAGTGAAGAAAGGAAGCAACCAGTGGCAATCCGATCTCTCATTTCCGTACACTGGAATGTAAAAGTGAAGCACATGTATTGCCTGCATCCGGATTTGGGAGCCTTAAGGATGGACTGACCAACCTGTAGTCCTGACCTCTTTGCCACTGTTATTTCGATGTGCTTCTTGACCACTACCACCTAAATGATTGACTTGTGATAAATACCATGTCTATGAATCGGATGTCCTCCCATGGCAGTGTGTGTGACCAAGCAGGACTTAGTGTGTCCACGGCCTAATTAAACCAGAATCTGTTAAATGACTTAATTTATAAATCTGTTATTTCCATTAACTTCCACCATCCAGTCTAATCACACTACGCATGACTCAACCGCAGAATAATCTGTAAATTTTTTGTAGATGCAACCTACGTGGCTTAGAGGAAAATTCAGTGATCTTGTAATCCGAAAGTTACGATTTTGAGTTTAGTTCTCCAAATGTTGAACTGCCCCTGGGCAAGGCATTTAACCCCAAGCAGCTGCCTGTGGATCTGTGTAGAAGTCTATAACTGTGCGTACACTTGAATGAGACCAACTGGAAGGTTGTCCACTTTGAGTGTCAGTTTGACATTAATATAAAGATTTAGTCTTGTAAAAAAAATTTTAAAAAAGCAATTTTTAGACCTGCTACTCAACCAACAACCAAAGATTTCCTATAAATGTGTCAGATCTTAAAGGGGAAATAAATCCACTTTAAACAATATTAAAGCTATTTCCAAGAAGACTTGATACAGCAAAGAAATAAATGACAAAAATAACAGAGTTTACAATACATTGTAAACTTTATATATTAGTTAGTTTACAATATATTGTAAAGGCGGCTTTATTGTTCTTTCAGTGGTGATATTCTCTCATTACAGCAGCATTAAGTAACACTGATGAGGATGTAGATAGTTCAGCAATCTGAAATCGAAGAAGAGCAATGTACATTTGCAAAACATGTCACAGCAGCACAATAATTGCAATTCAATTAAAGCAAAACAGGATGATTTTATGTTTAGTATCAGATGTGGAAATATCAGACTGCATTTACAAAATAATGTCTTTTTTTGCTGTTGCTCATGTGCACAACCCAGATTTCTGCCTTGGTTGATGATACCTGCACAGCTCATCATTACTGGTTGATTCCTCACTCTCTGAGCTCCAGTGGCAGACAGAGCCTAAACATTTTTATGGGCGACTGTTTGCAAAGAGGAAGAAGCTGCAGGAATTATATTGTAGATAAAAATTAGAACATCTTATTTTCATATTGTGCTTGGTCTCCAGCAATAGATTGTCATACACTAGTCATGCTATTGCATACCTTCTTTGTGTCAGTATTTCACAATAACCAAGAATAAGGTAAAATCCTTTCCAGACTTTCCTTTGTATTTGCAGCATATGTAGATTACACAGCAGCAATGATGTCATGGATGTTTTGGATATGTGTAAGACTTTTAGGGTGAGAACTCAGAGACACCATATTTCCCATATGTGTTTTACCTTTGCTGTTATAACTCACTGATAATTGTACACACATGCAAAGCTATGTAAAATATCTGTATGCACTGATGAGGATTGTTTCTGCATTGTGAATACTTAAAGCGGCTAGCACAACTATGGACAAATACTTAATTCTGCTTAATTTAGGTACGTTGGAGGACTTTCCGGCCAACATGATTTTACATTCATTGCGTGTCAAGAAGTTTAACTGCTTGTGCAGGGATGGTTATAGCACGGTTATTAACTTATGTTATCCACTAAGAGTAATTTTTATCCGGAAAACGAAATTAGGTTTTGAACGGCAATCTGCCATTACATGCCTACGTAAGGCCATCCTATGTGCTCATCCCTATTTTTCCTTACCGGTTGTGAGTCAGACATAGAGGAAAAATTTGCAAATCTTCTTTTGGGAAGTAAGCTTATATGAGTGATGTAAACAACAACTTTTAAACAGAGCATGCATGAGCAGAAATGGGCTTGTGCGTGCTCTCACACGCGTTTGGTAGTCGTTCCCTCTTGGGAGCGGGTACAGGTTTGTGCATGTGCATTTTTTATTTTTTTAAACTGGAGGGTCTTTTCAAAACTGCTCAAAAATCCTCCACTATACCTTTCAGGTATTCAATCACTACACTGGGGAAGATTGACTCCCATTCATGCTAAATACTCAAATGGAGACTAAATACTTTCCTAACTGATTTAGCTCATGATTATTTTGCACTTAGGGGCAATAAGAAACTGTTTTTAAGGCATTGAATGTTTATCCCCAAGACAGATGATTAAGAATAGAAAGAGAGAAAGCACCACCATTTGAAGAGAATTCTTAAGTGATTTTGACATCTGAACAGTTATAATTACATTATCTCATACTGTGCTATTCAAAGACATAATCTGCACTGATGATTGCTTATTTTCCTTCCCATGCTAAATATTTAGAGTGCATGGAAAGACAGACTAAGATATTTTATGCTAAAAGTTATTTGGGCACTTTGGTGCACTCGTTATCTGCGTATATTGGGCTTGAACTTTACTCTTTAACTGCTTCAGTCTTTATCATGTACATAAAAAACAAAAGAGATTAGATGATACCTGCCAAAAATAACTTTCTCTAATGCTATGCGGTAGTACAGCACATTATAATAAACCCAAACATAAGCAAGGCGCATACTTCACAAATGGAATAGGCCTTAATGTTTGACAAAATACATTTATATCTCAAAGTTTAGACCTCTGTAAGACATAGTTTTACATATACTAACACATATAACAGGGTAAATACTGTAGTTTTAGAAGGGTAAATTATCTTATTGTGGCTAAGAAGGCCTTACAAAAAAAGAAGCAGCTAATAAAACAATGACAGTTTCATGAAGATAGAAAAAAAGATCTGCCATCTAGGCCAAGAGAAAATGAACATATTGTATAAGCCAGATTGACAGAAAACTAGGAAGACTTCTAAAAATAGGTTTCACTGTATAGTAAATGGCACTTGATGCTTATTTGCAGTTTTGCCTTACTGAAAGACAGGGCTTTCAGTATCTCAATTGTTTATTTTTTATCTCTTTCAATTAACCACTTACTGATGTTTACCAACCAAAAAACCCCCCCAAAACTAAAAAAGATTATCGGTACACTGTGTTCTACTGCATATAGCTTTACAATGCAATGTTATTCTAATGTACATGGAGGGGTTTAAAGTTGTTCTTTTATTTTGTTGATCACTAGTATTTACATCCCAATGTAAAACCAATACCAGACTAGTTTGTTTCTTAGGGGATATGTTATTAAGTATTTGTAGAAAAAACAAATACATTTATACTTTACATTTATACAATATATAAAGCAAATAAACATACTTTGAGTCTTAAAAAGTGCAGCAGCTACCTATGATGTAACTTTATACAGAGCATTATTTTTGTGGTACAAAGTATTTTCTTTAAACTTCAATAAAGCCTTTATCCTGTATTGTGGAACTTTAAGGCTGTATAATAAAATACTTTCTGGGGTGATATAACTTTGTGTTTTGTTATTGTTTGTGTGGTCATGCTTTTGTTACCTTGTGAGGAAGCTTTCCAAGGAATATGCAACATTTTGGGGACTTATAGGTACTTTTGGGGACAAATGACTGGTCCCCATGAGGAAAGGTACTCTTCATGGGATGCGGGTTAGGTTGAGGACTAAGATGTGAATTCAGTTTAGGTTAGGCCATAGAAATTAGTGGGAAATGAATGGAAGTTAATAGTAAGTCCCCACAAGGATAGTGGGACACAACGTGCTGGGGTGTGCGTGTGTGGAGAGCGAGTAAAGTGCAGCTTGGGTCTCTAAAAATAAACAAAAAGGGAGAATAAAAACAAAAAAAAGGTTTTGCTTTCCAAGGCAGGAAAAACAAACTCTTTACCCTTAGTTATGGAAAAAGTTCAGATCTGTTAAGAATAAATGAAAGGCTCAAGGGTATTACGTATTATTATAATAAGTATTATGTTTCTAATGCATTAGGCTACAGGACATTTTTTCAGATGTCTATAAATATACTTCACTTTGATCAGTATTGGTAATTTCAGTCTCTCCTCTTGTTTTTTTTTTATGTTAGATTGAAACAGAAGCATTCAAAGTCTAAAAGATTATCAAATATTTATTTTCCAAAGCAGTAGAAAAAAAACGAGAACATAAAACAAGCATTTTCTAAATAGGTAGAGTGACTCTGACAATTTTGATATCATCAACCGGACGATCTTGACTGTTTGTTTCCACCAGTCCGATCCGGTTCAGCACTCCTATGCCTTGACACACTCTTCCAAAAATACTGTGCTTCCCGTCCAGCCATTGCGTTGGTCCGAGTGTGAGAAAGAACTGACTTCCATTGGTGTCTGGTCCCGCGTTTGCCATGGCCAGAATCCCAGCACCTAAAGACATGACCACACATAACAAGATGATTTTCTAATCAACACAGATGCTGAAGATGCAACTAAACGTTTGCCCAAAAGTGCTTTTGGGTAAAGTCATGAAATAAAAAGATTTTAGTAAAACATGAGCCAGCTGTTTTAAATTGCAGATACCTTCCCCTTAAAACATGTAATTTTAATGATGCATTTTTTTACCTGTAAATTTCAGCTCTGGGTGCAGCTCATCCTCAAACTGTTTACCATATATGGAGGCCCCGCCTCGACCTGTGGATAAAGACAAAGACCAGTGATGATTTAGTCAAGCAAGTGAACAAAGAACACACATTTTGTAAAGATCTTGACCCTTTGCTTTCATGGTGCTTTTTGTTCAAGAAGAGCAGCTGCATTCTTATTGCCACATTGCCAGACAGGAGACCGTTTAAAAAAAAAAAAGAAATAATGGCCTTTGGGTTTTCTGTCTCTCGGACTGTTGTTATTATCAGAGACTTTGAGGAAAGATGAAGCTGCACAGTTTCTTTGTTTCCACATGTTGAAGGTGAGAGCAGTTTAAAAAGCTCAATCTAGACTTCCTTCTGGGGATTTTTGAACATGATGATGAAGGAAAGCCAATCGGATGAAGGACAAAGATAAATTATTTCACTTGGTGGACGATAGAGGTTCCATGATCTGTTCATATTTTTTCATGGCCAGTAATCAGAAACCTGTTTGGGTCGACAGCATATGAGTCAGGAAGGAGTTGAAGTGAGGCTAATAAAAATATTTTTTCAGAGTCAATGGTTCTGTATTGATGATCTGAGTTATGGTTCTGAGTTATGTTCTCTACCAACAAAAGGCTCACAGTGGGCATTGTAGTATCATCCAGTATATCAGAACATGAGAGTCAAAACAAAGGAAGTTGTAACCATCAGTTTTTATTGTTTACTAAAATATTTGTTTATTCAGATGGAGACTGGATGTTAGGTCCAACACCAAATAAATATTTCTTAGTTTTGTCCTAATGGGTATTAGTAAAATTAGGTAACTTTTATGGGAACTTTTCTTTTCAGTATATGAGTATCAGAATAAAGGGGCTGTATACAAATGCATACCAAACACCTCAAATATTTATTTATATGTAAAAATGTACAATGTCCTTCCTTTAGTGAAGCCAACCTGTTCCTGTAGGGTCCCCCCCCTGCACCATGAAGTCTTTGATGATCCTGTGGAACTTGGTGTTGTTGTAGT